ATCCACTGGTGAAGCTCTGCTCCCACGATTCAAACCCTGCCCACTAGGCCCCTTGCCCAGCACTGGCTCTGAAGGAGGAAACTTCAGCAGGGTTTGGTGGCAGAGTTCTTCATACCTACCCTGTGTCTTGAGCACCTGGGTTCCCTGCACGCCTTCTCATAGCCCACCATGGTGGCATTTGGGATCCTTTAACACCCAGTCATTGCTTCCATAGCAGCCAGAAAGCTAATTCCATTCTTCCTACTTTGTTCTTTCCTGTCCCTTCTCTTTCTGCTTTTTATTTTCCCTGTTTCCATTATTTCTGCTTAAGCACACAGTTAAATGTGATAATACTCCTCAGGCTTTCTGCTGGGCATTCCCCTCCTCTGGGTAAGTGAAGCACATCCTTGGGCACTTCGCCTCTAGTGGGGCCCCAGAATTCCCCGAACTCTGGGGAAGTTAACTCTTGCCTGTCCTTGACAGTGAACACACAGCTTTCTTGGATTTAAAATTTTTGAGTTACACTTGCTTTTTAATACAGTAGTGTTATTGTAAACAGTCTTTCTCATACTGAATCCAGTTAAAATTGCTTCACAGTTTACTCACACCAAGACGTTATAGACTGATGGTGATTTTTTTTTTTTTTTTGAGAGAGAGACAGAGAGATAATTTTAATATTTATTTTTTAGTTTTCGGCGGACACAACATCTTTGTTTGTATGTGGTGCTGAGGATCGAACCCGGGCTGCACCGCACGCCAGGCAAGCGCACTACCGCTTGAGCCACATCCCCAGCCCCTGATGATGATTTCTGATCAGGACAGCACTGTGGTGACAACACTCCCAGCAGGCATACCGCCCAGTCTCCCTCTGCACCCACTTCCCGGAGTGAGATACCCACAGAGCCCAAGTGGTCACTGGGATTCTCAGCTGTGGTCCTTGAGATCTTGCCAGAAGAATCTCATGTGAGGGGCTGAAATTGTGGCTCAGCGGTAGAGCGCTCGCCTAGCATATGCGAGGCCCTGAGTTTGATCCTCAGCACCACATAAAAATAAAATAAAGATGTTGTGTCCAATTACAACTAAAAATTAAAAAAAAAAAAAAGAATCTCATGTGAGTTGCATAGAGTTACAAGCAAGAGTTTACTAGGAAATCTGGAGAGTACAGATTTTCAGGACAGACCAAACAGATCACCTCTGGGAGGCCAACATGATCCCGACAAAGTGAGGACTAGGGTTTTAAGTCCCCTTGTTCTTGCCTCAATTTCTTAGCCACCACCCCCATCAGTTTATTACCCTTTAAATATCTCTCAACAGCAAACTTTCTCTGTATGGGTGTTGATGTCATCATCACAAGGGGTGGTTGGGTGGTGGTGACTTATTTGGTGATAAGGAAGGATCTTGGTGACCTGGTCATTGGAGATAATGCCATCAGATGTGGTCTGGAAACAATAGCTCCCTTAAGTCCCTTTAAGGACTGTAATTAACTCTGGCTGGGGAGGTTCTGAAATTCCAGGCCCCATTTTCCTGAAGCTCCTCTGCTTTAATGAGGTTCCCCATGATTTTAAGTAAAAATTCCCTGAAAAGATTATAATTATCTACTGGTTGGGGAAGGTTGGACATTCTGGTTCTCTCTCTCTTTTTTTTTTTTTTTGGACCACAAATTGAGCTCATGGGCTCTTGACCATGGGCTACATCCCTAGCCCTATTTTGTATTTTCTTTAAAGACAGGATTTCACTGAGTTGGCTTAGTTTTTAGTTGGCTAGCCCTTGCTGGGGCTGGCTTTGAACTCGCAATCTTCGAGTCTCAGCCTCCTGAGCCACTGGAATTACAGGCATGCACCCATGCACCCAGCTTCTCATTCTTATAGTGATTGCCTGTTTTGATATTTGATAAGTTTAAGTTTCCTGAGGTTCTGGTTTTATAACTCATGGATTTTTTTTTTTTTTTTTTTTTCTCTTTGTACTAGGGATTGAACCCAGGGGCACTTTACCAGTGAGCTGCATCACACATGTTTTTACTTATTTATTTTTAAATTTTGAGACAGTGTCTCAAAAAGTTGCTTAGGGTCTTGTTAAGTTGCTGGGGCTGGACTTGAACTTGCAATCCCCCTGCTGCACCCTTCTAAGCTGATACGATAACAGGCGTGCAGGCGCCCAGCTATGACTCATGAATTTTTTTTAATAATTTTTTAGTTGTCAGTGGACCTTTATTTTATTTATTTATATGCAGTGCTGAGAATTGAATCCAGTGCCTCACACATGGTAGGCAGGCACTCTACCCACCTATTCATGGCTGACTAACCTACCTCATAGAGCTGTCCATAGAGTGCTGTGAAATCTCCCCTTCTTCACACCTGTAAAGGCTGCTGCCCACCCTCTTTCTCCTGCATCTGTCTCCTGGATGAATGGCCAGTTTTCTTCTGCCTTTTTTTTTTTTCCCCCCTGCTGTTTGATTCTCACAATCCAGTCTCAGGCCTGGAGCAGCCTCTCTGTTGGCTGCATTTCCTCTGAGTAGTGTGTGTGTATGCTTCTGGGGGCTGAACCCAGGGTTGTTGTACCACTGGGTTGCATTCTGAGCTATTTTTTATTTTGAGACAGGAGCTCGCCAAATTGCCCAGGTTGTTATCAAACTTGCTGGGATTATAAGTGGGCACCATCACTCCTGGCTCAAACTTCATTCTTTTCCCCTCCTTCTGAGTTGAGATTCCTAGAGGTTGCTTCTCCCCAGACTTGTTGCTCTTCCTCCAGAGTGTAATAGGGCCAGCTTTGTGCCTTCAAGGATGTAAAATGAGCTGGCAGGTGCAGGGAGGACCACTGTAGCATAGAGCTTGGGGTTGGGTGGGTTCTTTGTCTCTCAGATTCAAAGAATGAAATCCACAGACACAAATAGTGGAAGGGTGAAAACAAAGTAACAGGAAGAAAGAAGGGGAGGGGTCCCAAGAAAGGCTTGCCAACAGGTTTCTGTTATCTAGGGGGTTATATGAGTCTGTGGAGTTCAGGAAGTTAACCCCAAACCCATTCTTGGCTAAAGCAGTCAGTGTCCAAGAGCTCTTCATGTACCCTTTGTTCTAATCAGGCTACCTAATTGTTGGTGCCTTGTTGGAGGGGATCTGGGCATTAGGCAACAGACCAGACATCTGGGTTGTTTGGGTTCCAGCTAATGGGACCCAATTATCAGTTAGCTTTTCTGCTTACATAGGATGAGGCCTAGCTTGTGTCTATAGTTTCTCAACCCTGCTGCACAGAGACCTGACCTTGAAGGGGCCCAAATTGCCTTTCTGCTTATTTTTACTCTTCCTCCTATATCACCAGGACAAGGCATGTGATTTTCTGGAGTCAACATAACCAGATGTCTGGTCATAAACTTCTTGTACTTAATATTTTTAAAATAACCATATTTTGTTTAAAGAGTGAGCATCTGATCTGCTCCAGGCTTTTTCACATATATCATTTAATGTGATGACAGTGTCACCACCCTAGCCTCATCCTCTTCATAAAAAGTGAAACATGGCCTGCAGGGAGCTGACAGTGGCCCTGCATTGAGGAGAGTGCAGGGCAGTGGCTGTGGAGGTTGGGGTCGGAGAGTGCACCATGCCACATCATTGACTCCAGTATATCTGGGCAGTGGAGGAGGAATGCTTCTGACTGGGAGCTGGACTGCCACGTGGAGTTGTGGTGGGAGTTGTGCAGAAGCATGAGTGGCAGGCTACGGCTAGGCTGGAGGGAGGGGGGGTGCCACAGTCCCACTGACTAGGAGGACTGTGAGCATGGAGAAAGGCATGTGGAGGGGAAGAGTCATGTTTAAGTCATGTCTCCACAATCAGACGTTTGGAAAAGGAGCACTCTCAGCAGGCCCTGTGGGGTACAGTCCTGCTCCTGTTGGTGCTCAACCTGGTGGAATGAGGTCCCAAGTAGGGGTTGAGGTTTAGGGCTCATCTGCCTCTAGCCAGTTATTCAAACCTACAGGGGTGTGGTTGAGGTAGTGGGGAGAAACAGGAGGAAGACTAGGGTCCTAGATATTGTCTTGTAAAGGGCTGAGGGATTCTGGTCCTGCCTGTGCTCATAGAGACACTTGTGACATTCTTTGAGCTGATGGATGTGAGGGCACCCACTCAGCTATGCACCACCAAGATGGCAGCTGCTATAAGGCAAGCAAGACATGCCTCTGCTACACCACTGTGGAAATGCTCCATCGACAGGAAGAAACTGGGTCTCCATGGGGGTCTGCTGGGAATAGAGATTTTGATTTTAACAAATGTAGGGTGTCTCTGTCCTCTGCATTTGCATTGTCGGGGCTGATGCCATCCATGTGCCACACATGTTCACTCCAGCAACCTCAGCAGGGCCTGGGGGTTCTCAAGAACAAATGAGACTAGTGGGCCAGCAGGAGAGAGCCTTGAGGTTCTCAATGTGGATGAGAATGTAGAAAATTTGAGTGAACCTGAATCCTCTGTTTTTAAAAGTGGGTACTCAACTACAGAATAAAAGGCACCTGTGCCTTTTGCTCTCAGGGAAGTTTTGGTGTGTGTGAGGCACAAGTCTTGGAGAGCTCCTTCCTAGGGGGGATGTGTGGGTCTTCTCTCTGTCAAGGGCACAAGCAAGGGACTGTGCTTTCCTTGCCCTGGGCCTACCACCTGGGCAGCTTCTGTCGATAGCTGCACCCTCCCTTTCTCCTCACCTCCAGCAGAGACTTAGGACCACTCCTGAACTCTCTGGCAGTGGTTTCTGGGGAACTCTAAAGGGCGCCTGGAGGACTGGCTGTCATTTAATGACCAGACATCTGGGTTGTCTGGGTTCCAGCTAATGTGACCTGAAGCAGCAGTTGCTTTGCTCAGCAAACACATGAATGGACCTGGATGTTCACAAGCACAGAGATCATCCCTCCTTTGGCCTTTGCTCCTTTTAGAAGAATTTGTTACCATTTGTGAAGATGTTTAAATTATGTAATGCTGATGGTTGGCTCTTCCTGGTGGAATGGCCGCTGTTGTGAGATGATGTGCATTTTCTCTTCCATTTTGCAGATGATGTCTTTCTGCCTAAAGATATCGACCTGGACAGTGTGGATATGGATGAGACCGAGAGGGAAGTGGAATATTTTAAAAGGTAAATGTTAGGACTGAATGTTTAAAACAAAGGTAGCCCTGTGGATGCCGAGCTTGTTTTGTTTCCTCTCTTCTCCTGACCCTCCCCTGGCCTTTCCATGGTGCTAGATGAATTTCATCTGCAAGCCAGCAGCACCGGCCTGTGTCTTTCCCATGCCCCCAGCACTTGCTTACACACTCGGCCCAACTTCACACACCTGTTCACTTCCCATAGCTGTTCAGAGTCTGGTTGGTGGTGGTAGTTCTTATGGTGGGCCTGGACCAGCAGTGGCACACAGGAACCCAGGTCCCTCCCAAGACCTGCTGCATCTGACTGGGAGTGTTTGGGCAGGGGTGTCACCTGCATTTATGAATGCCTTCCAGGTGATCCTTAATGGTTGAATGCACTCATGTGTCCTACATTTAAGGAGAAAAGTAATATTTTAGATATTGGCTGTTTTTTTGATGGCAGTCTATCAGTAATGTTTTATCTACTATGAGAACTATGGGAACAAAAAATTTATTTTAAAGCACTTTATATTTTCTTTGGAATTATACACAAGTAATACAAAGAAGGAGTATGCAATGCAAAAATTGATTAACTCATTCCTAAAATATTGGAGAATTATAAATACTTCTGGAAGTTACATCTAACTTTTGTATAATTTAGTATACATATTAGCAGATGGAGAAAAGCATTCACTAAACTAAACATCCATGCATTATAAAAACTTAACAAATGAGAAGAAAAGGTCCATGAAGGAGGGAAAGGCCTTCAGGAAGTGTCGTGTGTGACAGCAAGAGAGCAAAAGCGTCCTTTCAGGTTGGAGATGCCAACTCTCATTTGTAAATGTCTGAAAAGAAGCAAAGGGGTAAGAGAAGGAAGAAAGTGGCATTATTCTCACATAATAGGATTGTTTGTACAGAACCCAAAAGAAACCATTGATAGATTATTTGAATTAATAAAATAGGTTGGCAAGGGTATTGGATTCAAAGTCAGCAAGCAGTCTCCCTTCTTTAATATCTTTGAAAAAAAAAAAAAACATGTACCTAGGATGATGATGTTCATCTCATTCCATCATCTTTTCTACTCCCATAATCCCTCCCCTTTGCCTAATCCAAAGTTCCTCCACTCCTGGAGGCATTTTTATCTTAGAACAAACAAAAGTTTTAGAGAAACTACCTCTCTCCACCTGCTCCCACAGAAGCAGGCAAGACCTAAGCTGAGGTTTTGTGGGCAAAGGTTCTGGGGAGGCTTTGGCCTGGGTTTTCTATTACTAAACCTCTGTGCCCTGAGTATTGGGCAAGAGCACCTGGGAACAGAGATAGGAACTGAAGGTATGGCTGAAAGCCAGGTGTGGTGGCTAATGCAGGAGGATCAGTTGAGCCTACAAGTTCAGTATCATCCTGGGTAACAGCAAGACCCTGTCCCCCAAAAAAACAAGCAAACAGGCCTGTGGTTGCCTCACATGCATGAGGTATTGGCTTTGATCCTCAGCACCACATTAAAAAAAAAAAAAAAGATATTATGTCCATTTACAACTAAAAAATTTTTTTTAAATACATGGTTGCAATTCAAGTGGCAGGGAAGGTGGTTTACCCTGGGGCTGGGTTTGGGGAGCAAGGGATGGAGTAGGGCTACATTTTGGATATAGGAAGAACCTCAGAGGGAAGTTTTCCCAAGGTAGCCTGCAAGATTCTTGTGCATTAAAATCATGCATGACTTCATTCATAAACAGACACCCCAGACTTGGGAAAAACAAGAGAAATATAATGGTTAAAATCAAGAATAAAGTAGAGCTAAACACAGTGATATATACCTATAATCCCAGCTACTTGGGAGGCTGAGGCAGGAAGATCACAAGTTTGAAGGACTGGGGATGTATCTCAGTGGTAAAGTACTCTGAGTTCCATCCCTAGTACCAAAAAAAAAAAAAAAAAAAAAAATCAATACATAGATACATAGATGACACAAACAGGTTAGACAGTGTTACAAAAGGAATTAATGAACTAGAAAACATCTGAAAAATGTACTCAGAATGTAAGCAGGGCACAGTGGTGCACACTCAGAGTCTGAAGAAAGAGGATCACAAGTTCAAAGCCAGCCTCAGCAATGGTGAGGCACTAAGCAACTCATTGAGACCCTGTCTCTAAATAAAGTACAAAATAGGGCTGGGGAAGTGGCTCAGTGACAGAGTGCCCCTGAGTTCAATCCCCAGTACCAAAAACAATGTACCCAGAAGGCATTGAAATGTTTAGAAAATACGAAAGAGAGGTTGAAACTAAGTAAGTCTAACCAAAAATACTTAATATACAACATCAGCCCAAGAAAAGTATTAAAATCATGAACCAGGAATTTCTGAGGAGATGAAACCTTCAACTGCAAATCTTTCCGGCAGAAAAGAAGGTAGGGAATATGTGCATACTTTCAAAGAACAGATCAGCCAGTCTCTGAAACAAACTACCAGAGAATTAAGCAGAGCACACCTACAAGAGAATGTGCCCTACTTTGTTTTATGTGGCAAGTAAAATTTCAGTACAAAATCTGCCAAAAAATAATACCAGGGAACAAAAAAGAAAATTTATAGGTTTGTCTAACTTGTGAATAATGATTACAGAAATCCTAAGGAAAATACTCTCATTCCAAATCCAACAGTGTGTTTTCTAAAACAGTGTGCCACGGTCAGTTGGGCTTAGCCCAGGAGTGCAGAGGGAGTTTCATATTCAAACACCCATTCACTATTTGCTACATTGATATATTCAAGGAGAGCTGTTTAATAGATTCAGAAAAGGCATTTGACAAAATTTCAGCACCCGTTTGTAATTAACATGGAAAATAAAAAATAGAAAGCTAGCAATAGAGCTGCAATATTAAATAGAAAGGTAACAGACTAACTTGAGTAAGTGATTTGCTAAAAGAGAAGAAAAAGAAACCTGTATGCAGTAGTTTCCTAAAGGGAAAGAATGTGGAAGCATGTGCAGAACAGAGATGCTCTCTTATTACTACTTGAATTCCTGGCCAGCACAGTAAGACAGGAAAAGAAATTGAAGACTGAGAAGTGGAAAGGAAGAAATAAAACTCTCTTATAGTTGCTCTAGTTGTCTGCATAGTACATGCAAAAAAGAACATACAGCTTGGGCTGGCTGTGTAGGAGAAGCACAGAAGTTATTTGGTATTCTCTATGCCATTAATAAGTAGAAGATGCAGCTACAAAAAAAGACAGCATTTATAATAACACCACCATCTCTGCAGGACCCATGAATAAAGCTAACAAAAGTTGTATGGGACTTGTGCACAGAAGCCTGGAACTTTACTGAAAAATAATAAAGACCTAAACCACAGACCGTTTTCAAAGACAGGAAAAGTTTCTGTAAAGCTATTGAGTTTCCAGTCTGTAGATACAAGCATAGTTTTGTGGAACTTGTTAAAAGAAGAAATTGTGATAGTCACACAGTAGAATGCTGCATAGCAACAAAGAGAAGCAAACTGGAGCTACCACCTAAGTGGCCTGTGCACCTACTGCTGTGCAGCTCCAGCACACTGAGTAGCTGGATTGCAGGTATGTCCGCTTTACCTACCTCCTCTCTCGGGGGTATCTGCCTGAGAGGACCATAGGCCTGTGCCCACACACAGCCTTGGTCACACTTTATTTATAATAACCAAAAACTGGGACCAGCCCAAACATCTTTCAGAAGGAGGATGGGTGCCTGGTGCATTTCCCAGTAGAACACTCAGCAATGAGTAGGAGCCACTGCTAGTGCCACATGAAGGCAAATAGGGAGGTGTATCCAGACCAGCTTGCTGTGTGACAGAAGGCATGCTATGAGGTTCCATTGGTGTGGAATTCCAGAAAATACAGTTTCACCCAGTAACAGACAACATATTGTTACTAGCCTAGACAAAGCAGGAGGGTAGGGAATATGAGAGTTTTGTAGAAATAATGGATATATTTGTTAGCATTTATTAGCTCTGTACTAACTGTGCAGTTTTTTTATTGCACATAAATCATACCACAGTAGATTTAAATCATACCACAGTAGATTTTATTATGAAGTATCTTGTTCAGAGGTGCATACATGTGTGTTAAAACTATAAAGAAAAGAAAGGAAGTTATGACCATAAAAAGTCAGAATGATTACTTCTGAGTGAGGAAGGTAGGCTGTGGCCTACAAAGGCATTGGGGAACATCCCCTGGCTGCTGGCAGTGTTTGTGGGGGCTCTTTGATGCACAGTGTTTGTTTTGTACTTATTCTTTATTATGTATTTGTTTTGTTTACCCTTCTATATGTGTTTCATTTTATCCCCCCCCCCAAAAAAAAAAAAATGGAGGAATAGAATAGGGACAAGAAAGACCACTTTTCCTGCAGAGCGTAAAGACTTAGAAAGTCTTGGCTTTTAAAATAGTGATAAAATTGATAGGGAATATGGAGCCTTGAAACATCCCTGTGAAAATAGGTTGCTGTGGAAATGAAGGAATATTCATAGATGGTAGTTAGTTACCCAAATGGGAAAAACAAGAGATTGGAACCCTACCCCACACCGTGCTCAGGTCAACTCTGGATGGTTTAAAATTTTAAATGTCAAAAGCAAACCTTTTGACTGGGATGTAGCTCAGTAGTAGATGGAGTGCTTAGAATGTGCGATGACTTAGGTTTGATCAGCAGCACCAAAAAAAGAAAAGAAAAAGGCAAACCTCTTAATTTGTAATTGAGAAAATAAAGGTGAATATATTTCTGATCTCAGAGTAGGGAAACATTTCTTAAAAACACAAACCATAAAATACCACAGTGGTATGTTCCTGTAGGCCCAGCCACTCAGGAAGCTGAGGCAGGAGAACTGCTTGAACCCAAGAGTTTGAGGTCAGCCTAGGTGACAAAGTGAGACCCTGTCTCAAAATGGAGTGGAATGTGAAGTGGCTCGGGTTGTAGCCCAGTGGTAGAGCATGTGCTTTGCATTGTGCAAATCTGAGGTTCAGTCCCCAGCACTGATAAATTATACTACTTAAAGGCTGAGGAGTCGCCTTAAAGTGTCTGTAGCACATCACAAGGAATGGTATCAGGAAGTATAAACATTATAGAACAGAGAAAAAAGACAAACCTGTTGGAAACCAGTAGGCTCCCAGAGCATACATGCAGTCAGGCAAGCACAGGGATGTCTCATCCTGTCCAGGAAAGTGCTGTGACCTCATCACTGTAGCCAGCGAGTGGCCTCCATCTCTGGTGGGGGGCGGGGGGAGGGCAGCCTGGAGCCATGCAAATCCTTACTCTGCTCCCAGGAGTATAAACTAAGTAAATCACTTGGGAAAAGAGTTGGACAGCCAGGCACAGTGGTGCACGGCAGTAATCCCAGCAGTTCAGGAGGCTGAAGTAGGAGGATTGCAAGTTCAGAGCCAGCCTCAGCAACTCAGTGAGACCCTGTCTCTAAATAAAATGCAAAAAGGAGGCTTGAGGATGTGGCTTAGTGCTAAAGTGCCCCTGAGTTCAGGCCCCGTACAAAACAAAAAAAAAAGGGCAGAATCTGGTGAAACTGAAGTGTATGTCCCACGTGACCCAACAGGCAGCTCCACAGCTTCTACACCTCAAGGGGCTCCTGGACTCGCACCCCAGGAAGCACAAGAGCAAGCTGAGCAGCATCATCATCCAGCAACAGAACGGGCAGGCTCATGGAGGAAGTTCACAGAGTGTGCTGAGTGGAAGAGGCACTAAGAAGACATCCACCCAGGACGTTCCCATCTCTAGAAGCTCACAAACCCTCACGATCAAGCTGCTATGAGAGAGGCTAATCACACAAATGCCAGAACAGTGACTGCACCCCTGGGAGAGGGCAGCAGGGCACTGGGGGCAGTCACTTGGGTCACGCTGCATCCTAGTGACCTTGTGTGCCTATTTTTTGTGCCTGGTACCGGCATGCAGTCTAGAGTTGATGCAGGCCTGATGGGGAGGCAGTACAGTCTGGTCTCACCGGGCCCAGGGTCCTTGGGGAACAGCTTGGGTTTACTGCGCAGAATTTAGATACCCATTGGAAGCCTTGGTGTGGCTTAGATTAGGGTTTTTCATTGATTTGCTTTGAACCGGGATGTGATTTCTTTTTTTGAGTATTTTAATTGCTATGTAGAGAACGGAATGGCGGGGGGTGGGGGTGTCACACTAATGGAGACGATCTGGAAGCACTTGCCATTTGAAGGAGACAGTAGAAGCAGAAGTAGAAGTTTCCAGAAAGTTTAGAAGTTTACATCACATACACAAGGCTTGACCTGCTGTGGCCAGGGAGAAGGATTCTTGGATTCTGAGAGATGGCACCACCCTTCCCTAGTAGACCTCAGCTTTCCCTCTACATGGGCAGAGACCACTGGCCAGCAACACACAGTTGGGGACACACAAATGTCTACGGTTAAATGATTTAACCACAATTTAAGCAAATTCCATTTGTCCATTGAATGAGAGACACCACCACCATTCTCCTGTTTCACTTTCAGATCTGCTACCTAAGTTAGAGTTGGAATGATGAGAACTGCAAAATTACACAAGGGTTTTAAACAAAAGAAAATGTTCTTTACTTCATTTAATACGAAGTTGGCTCTTGCTGCCTGGGAAATGAGGCCAAGTATAGACTTTCTCAAAAGCTGTTTAGTATGCAATGTTTATGGACCAGAGCACAGTGAGCCTAGAGGCTGGCCTGAGTCTGTGCAGGGGACATGTCCTCTGAGACAGGAGTGCAGGGTAGAGTGCTGTAACCCTGTCTCGCTGTCATGAGTCCTCGTGACAGTGTGAATTCCTGAGTAAGTTAAGACAGGCAGAGATCCCAGCATTGTCCTTAGTTTAGGTTATGTGCCAGCCCCAGCCCCACATGAAAATTTTGTGACACATGAAAATTATACAAAGCACAACTTTACTCTTTGTGTGAATAGAACTTTGCTGGTGTTCATCTGTGCTCACTTGCTGCCCACTGCTGTTGGGCTGTTGTGGAGGGTGTGCACTTGTCACGACTGCTGGCCTGTCACAGAACACATGGGTCAACCCCGACAATCCTTGATAGCTGTGGCCTCAGGCTTGCCGTGGAGCCCTTCCCAGCAGTTCATGTGGGCAAGGCTCAGGCAGAGCTGCTTCCATCTGCCCTCCCAGCTATGGATAGCTGTGGCTGTCCCCTTGCCTGCCCAGCTACAAGGACTGAGATATGGAGCTAGCTGGTGGCTTCTTTCCTGTCCTCATGGGGAGCTTAGGCCACACACGAGAGCCTGCAGGGCATGTGTTAACACAGCCCGCTCCCTGCCAACCAGTGCCAGAATTGCCACCCTGGAGTCCTGCCTCAAGACATCTTCCAGTCCCGTCATCCTCCCATCAGCCCTGCCAGTCTTGTCTGAGGAGCACGGTTGCAAACCCCACTCCCACCCTGCCCAGCTGCTGCCAAACTGTCACCTGCTCCCCAGGAAGCTGTATCTGAAGTAGTAGCCTTTGGATTAAGGAAGTAGTGACCCTCCCAGCCCTTTGTCCTTATCCTTGCCATAGCCACATCAAGAAGGACAGGGTGCTAGCCAATGGCAGCTGTTCTTAGATGAGCCAGTGAGCACCTTCCCGTGAGGAAGCTGAAGGAGGCCTGTATCCCTTAACAGTGCTGCCTCTGCCTTCCCCCATGTGGAGCCAGCTACTTTCTGAAGGAACCCTGGTTGTTCCTGGAGCATGAGGTGGAAAACAAAAATCACCAGAGACCACACAGGCCATGTGGTCAGTGTCCTGAAAATGGGGCCCCTGCCTCCCATTCTCCAGGGCAAGGAGGGAGTCCTGGGCTTCAGATCCCACTCCCTGACTCACACCCACCTCCAGTGAGTTTCTGGCAAGATTGGGGCTGACAAGGTTGGCCAGGCCCCAGCCTGGGTGGGGGCTGCCTCCTTCATCAGCCTCTTGTCTTTGCAGGTTCTGCTTGGACTCCGCTAGACAGACCCGACAGAGACTATCCATCAACTGGTCCAACTTTAGCTTGAAAAAAGCCACTTTTGCTGCCCACTGAACAAAGACCACATGGAGAGGGACACGCGGGAGGAGGCCAGGCTGTGCCACCTCAAGAGCTGAGCCCCTCGCCGGCCCCCCAGAGCTGCCGTGTCCACCCAGGGCAGGGCAGGGTGGGGCGCCGCAGCCTGAGACCCAGACCGAGAACTTGCTGCTCGACCCGCGTTGTAGCTCGTGTGCGTGTAGTCTGTGAGTGAGACTTCTTTGATTGTAGCTCTGTGCAGTCGGATTGGAACAGTAGTTCCTGCCAGTTCCTCCCACCACCGCGGCCTCAGAGGTGTGGGCCATGGCCAGAGATGAGTGCAGCATACGCGTGCTCCGTTGCCTCTGCATCGCGCCCATCCTGATGTCTGTCCCGCTGGGTGTCGCCATCCCTCAGCTCCCATGTGCCCTGCGTCCCATCAAGGCGGGCTGGGCGGGCAGGCCTCCGTTCTTCATGATCTACTGTTTCCAAGTGTACACGTTGCACTGTTTGTGTTTGATCCCCTGACTCGTAGCCAGCTTGTGTAAGACCCCTTGCAGAATGAGAACGTTAAAAACAAGAAATCCACCCAGTACTCACACCATCACGTCTGTTCTAGAGCGTGCGACCGTACTGACACGGAGGCCTGCCTGGCTACTTTTTAACATATTGTTAAGTAATATTAAAATCATGTCTTTCTTTTTGAAAGATGGAATACATTAGTACAGCAGGAGACCCAGTCTGGTTGCTTTCTGCTTTGGGGGGGGTGGGGTGGACGTGGTGGGAAGTGACAAGTGGGTGATGTGTCTCCCCGGGAGCCAGGGCTGATGTCAGCTTAGGGCTCCTGGTGCCCTCATGGACCTCCATGTGCTGGGCTGGCCCAAGCACCAGGACAGAGCAGTCAGCAGGAGACACAACCACTGGATCATCACAGCTTCACGTGGACATGCCAAGAAGCCACAAGACTGGGTGGGCAGGCTCAGCAGTTCACCTGAGGGACAAGGGCGTGTTGGATTAACCCTCAGCAGCTTCATTGAGATCAGAGGCCCCTGCAGCACAGAGCAGAGGGTCAGCAGGGCAGGGTCACGTGTGGCCTTTAGGCAGGTTCCCATCTACACTTTGGAAAGGTTGTGATCTAGACTAAAAAGATAAATTATATTCGACTGGGTATATACATTGATAACAAAGTGAGTAGTATTTAAAATGAAAAAGGAATCCCAGCTTGTCCCTTTCTTCTGAGATCTCTTTAGGCAATTTGCAGAACACCCACATGGAGCTGCCACCTGGTTGCTGTCTAACGTCCATATCCTCCTAGAGCACTGCTTAGCTCCCTCGTCTCCCAATCTCTTGGCATCTGGAGGTCAGAGGGCTGGGAGAGGCAGGCCAAGGCAGGGCTGCTGTGGTCAACAAAGCCAGGAGCTGGCTACAAAGCTCCTGCACCAAGGTGACTTGACAGCCCAGAGGGAGCTGGTTTGTGGGACAATAGGGTCGGGGCCAGCTGGGGGGGCTGCAGGTCCTGGCAACTCTGGGGACTGCACCAGGAAGTGGGTGGATAGTCAGAGGAGGTACAGAATTGGGAGTTTTCCTTTGTTTATTTTGTTTTATTTTTTCCAGGTGGGAGGAAGAACAACACATCCCTTTGTTCATAGGATGGTTCAGCGAAGGGAGAAACAGGCTGGGCTGTGACCACGGCAGGAGAGTGCCCTTGAGAGGGCAGGGACCCTGATGCAGTCCCTCAGGGATGCCGGCTTCATCTCCTGGCTGAGGTGGGGGCTGAGTAGGGGCCAAGGGCTAGGGTCTGTACGCATGTGGGAAACCCTAAATCCTGCCTGCCCAGGCCTGTTCTCCCTGTGGACAGTCTTGAAGCTGTGCTGGGAGCCAGTCCCACCTCTGGGCCTCAACTTACTCATCTGTCCAGTAGAGCCATGCCAGCTGCTAAGAAGAACCACAGGGTCCCCAGCTGTGATATCAGGAACTGTTGGGAACATGAGTGGTAAAGGGATTCCTGGGTACCCCAACAAGGACCCTCACACTGAGGCCTAGAGGTAATTCAAATTCCAGTCCTGAGCCCAACTCCTGAGCATTCGTCGAGGTATAGTAGTCAACTGCAGCCTCCCCTGCTCCCATTTCACCAGCCTTCAGCCTGCCCACCAACATCTGTTCCCCGAGCCCTCGGACTTCCTGGCCCCTGCTGTTCCTCCACCAGGAACAACTGTCCCGTTTCCCTGGAGGTCACTCACCCTTCAAGACCGTCCATGTGGTTCTTTGGGTTTTTCTTCAAGAGGGTACTGGTCAACAGTGCTTATCCTCAGGAACAAAACGAAATAGAGGATGGAACCAACTTGAGGGGACAGAGGAGAGGGAGGAGGGCTCCTGAGGACAGTCCTTCCATGACACAGCATGGCCTGGTGATCTGTCCCACCCATTGTGCCACTTACATATGAGGGACTAAGACCCGAGGTGTGTATGCTGCCTAGGGCAGCTGCAGACAGCCCCAGTGTTGCTGTCCTCATCAGAGCTCAGGCCTAGGGCTGTACCTGTTCTTGATGAGATCAGTCCCCACTGGGTAGCCTGATGTTTTTGACTCTTCCCACAATATCACTAATCGTGAAATGAAATAAAATAACAATAGCTAGAAAAGACCCTACCAGTGGAAAAAATTTTTATTGAACTTTTTAACTTTCATACTCATTCCATTAAAACGAAACGAGCCAGGTCAGTGACACCTGAGGTCCTAGCACTCAGGAGGCTGAGGCCAAGGATCCCTTGAGCTCAGAAATTCAAGACCAGCCTGGCAACATAGATCCTGTCTCAGAAGACAATGTCAACAACAAAAATTAAAATCAAAATGAATTTAATGATACCAGAAAAGATTACTGCTTTTTTGTTAATTTGGGGAGGCGATTTTTATTGTTTGGTTGTTTTTATACTAGAGATTGAACCCAGGACCTTGAGCATGCTAGTCAGCTGTTCAACCTCTGAGTGGCATCAGCTACATCCCTAGCTCTTCTATGTTGCCCAGGCTGATCTTCAACTCATGGACCAAAGTGATCCTCCCAAGTGGGAGAATGTGCACCACTATGTCTAACAATATATTTATAAAAGGGAGTAGTAAAAAATTGACTTTTTTTTTTTGGTAGTGTTAGAGATTGAACCCAGGAGCATTGTACCACTGAGCTGTGTCCCCAGCTCCCCCCCACACCTTTTTTTTTTTTTTTTTTTTTTTTAAAGAAACAGTTCTCACTGAATTGCAGATACTGGCATTGAATTTGCAATCTTCTGCCTCAGCCTCCAAAGTCACTGGGATTACAAGTGTACACCACTATACCTGGCTAGTTCACTGTTAACAACAAAAACTTACCATGTCATCATCCAGGATGACAGGTTAAAGTGCCTCAAGTTCTGGCTCTTCATCTACAGTCAGTAGCATTATTTAGGACCCACTACTGAAATGCAAGAATAAGCAAGCATTCAGGAGTGTGCATCATGAACTACACAAGGAGAGTCAAGGCAATAGGAATTATCAGTAACTTCTTGCAAGCACACCTGTGGCTGAGTGGGTCAGGAAACACCTGTGTAACCAGGAGCCTCCAGATAGTTCTTGGTGGCAAATACATTAGGTTCCAGGATGAGTGAATGGAGGGACCAATGGCATTCCAACAGCATAGTAGTAGTCCTTAAGAGAAGGCAAGACAGGTAAGCCCTTAGGCAACCAGCTCTTTGCCTAGAGGCAGCTTCCAGGTCCCAGCACTGAGACAGGAACCCAGCAGCATTGTTGAACAGAGGAAAGACCAGAGTTTGAGGAGGCCACAATAACTGGGATTTGGGTCAGAGTTCCAGGCAGGAGGGGCTTGTACATAGAGGTCTGGAGATGAGATCTACTGAGAGTCCCCTCTGTTTCTTGGCTCAGTTCTCATCTGTGCACAGGTTGCATAAATCTAAGCACTGAGTCTCCAAAAAGCAGCAAGGTGTACCTGATGTTTGAACTGGGCGAAGTGGAGGCAGGTAGTGAGGCACTGGAAACGTGCTTATTACCTGCCTCAGAGGAATCCAATTGACCCCACACAACTTCCTGGCTGATAGAACAAAGCCCAGCATTCTCTAAAGAAATACAGGAACTTCCCACCTCAGCCAAGTGCAAGCCACAATACGGGCACATGGTCAGAAGCTACCAGGCTCTGCCAAAATAAGGAAAACAAACTGTAATCAAGAGGAGTTCCAGTCGAAAGAAACAGATTCAAAAGAAACACAATAAGTCCATAAGAAACTTAAAAGGACCGTTATAAGTCTTTTAAATGTTCTCAGTGATGTCAGTATAAACAAGGTGAAGGAATACATGTAAAAACCAAAAAAGACAAAAGGCCAGCGTGCACAAGGCAGTACTGCCAAACAACAGCAACAACATGAGCTGAAATGGTGTGAACCCTGGACAGAATTAATAGCAAATATGAAGTCTGCACTTGATGTTGTGTGCATGTGTCTATATCACATATTTGTGTATACACATATGTGTATGTGGAAAATGCATATGAACTAAAAAATGTGGTTTGCCATCTGTGGAACTGGAGTCCTAAAAGAGGTAGGGGACAAACAGTGCAGTGGCCCACACCCGTAATTCCAGTAGCTCAGGAGGCTAAGGCAAAAAGATCACAACTTAGGCCCTAAGCAACTCTTAAGACCCTGTCTCTAAATAAAATTTTTAAAAGGGGCTGGGGATGTGGCTCAGTGGTCAAGCAAGTGGTTCAGTCCTCTGTACCAAAAAAAAAAAAAAAGAAAAGAAATGGAAGTATAAGAGATAGGAACCTAGGGCCTTGTGCATGCAAGACAGATACAACCACCAATACATTGGGAATCAAAGAACCAGAGTCCTAGAAAATCATGTTCAAAATGCTGAAAGCAACGGTTCATGAAAATCTCAAAAATAGGTAGAGAAACTATCATGTGCCTGTGGTCCCAGTTAACTTGGGAGGCTGAGATGAGAGGATCACTTGAGCCTAGGAGTTGGAAGACAACCTGGGCAACATAGCAAAAACCCTGTCTTTTTTTTTTTTTTTTTTTTTTTAAGGCACATTGCAAAGTATGGATTAGCAGTCTTAACAGAAATCATGAAAGAGAAGAAAATGACATTTAAAGCACTGAAGGATAAAACCAAAACAAAAACCTGTCAAGCTCAGATTTGGTATATAGAGCATAACTCCAGAAATGAAGGCGGGGAGATCCACTTCAGACTGACAACATGAGTTCTGCTGACCCGCCGCTTAGTGTGACTGGTGATAAGTTATCCAAAGAATGCACTTGCTAGGCGCATTGGCAAGTCTGCAGTCCCAGTGACTTGGGAGACTAAGGCAGGAGGGTCCCAAGTTCAAGGCCGCCTGGGCAACTTAAGACCTTATCTCAAAATGAAAAATAAAACAAGGGGCTCTTGATGTAGCTAAATGGTAAATTATCCCTGGGCTCAATCCTTAGTACTACCAAAAAATAAAAATGTTAAATAGTTAAAATCTGTAAATAAACATTAGAGGGCAGGTAGTATGGCTCAGTGGCAGAGTGCTTGCTAGTATGCATGAGATGCTGGGTTCCCATCATCAGCACTACAAAAAAAAAAAAAAAAAAATGAAAATAACTCAGAGCCTCTGTAAATGGTCTTAAAAGCAAACTGCAAATAAAGAAACATCCATCCAAGGATAACTATAAAAAAATTGATAAGAAAGATGAGTGGAGTTGGAGTTGTAG